GTGTGTGTGTGTGTGTGTGTAAGTAGTGTGTGTGTGTGTGTGTGTGTGTGTGTGTGTGTGCGAGAGAGAGAGAGAGACGGTATGCACCTGACTTGACACGAAAAGGATTAACAAGCATTGGGAAATGAAAATTACCTTTCAAAGAGAAACTTCAGTTTCCAAATGGCCTCCTTTTTCACTAGCATGCTGGATATGTTGGATAATCCCTAGCAGGCTTGAATCTAATTGCTGACTTAAGTAGCAGAAATAATTGGTGGTCACATTTTATAGGCAATACAGCCCATACGTGACTTTAATATCAAGTATCTTAAAAAACGGGTGGAAACAATAAATGCTATGGGAAGAGCAGCCTGATTGTATGCTAACAGTCCATGCTGAATACTAAAAAAGGAGGCATAAGCCCCTGGAAGGCACCTTAGGATGGAGGCCTCTGACCTTTCTTCCTCACCTGCAGATTTGCCCAGAAGCCAGCAAGTCGGGAGCTGCTATCACTCCACAGGCCGTCCAATTATTAAAAGACAACCTGGTTCTGAAGTTGCATCTGCTCAGCACATGGAAAAGCCCAGTCTGTCCCCAGCACCCCAGGATCTCCTTCCCTGTACTTAAGTTTTCCCCTCTTTATCCTACAAGCATGAACCCCTTGCCTCAGCCCTCTCTCCCCCCTCCCATGGCTTCCTTTGTAAATCCCCAAAGATACTGGAGGGAAAGAGAAGTGAAGCTGAAAAGCTGGCCCTGTTCATTGGTCTCGAAGGCCCCAGAATCTGTACCTCTGTGCCTCCCTGGTTCTCCATCCTGCTCCAAATTCCGTGTGAAAAGATTTCCATGCCTGTGCTTATCAAATTCTTTGTGTCTCTCTGTTATTGGCTTTGTGACAGGGTGGTTCCTTCAGCATGTGATCGCTTTGCACCCCTGACTCCAGGAGTTTATGCTGGGTTCATGGTCCTGCCTTATTTATCCTGGGCATACACTTTGTATGTACGACAGTCTCCAGAGTGAAACCACTCGTGGTCACCTGTATTTGTGGCTATCCTGTGCCTCAACCCAGCTGCAGCCACACCAGGGAACGTCTCCAATATCATGAGCTTTCCCCTCTCTGATGTGAACTCACTGTGTGTTACGCAGCCTGCTGAGAAAAGGGCTCCTAGCCACGGGCATGAACCACAAGGCTACTTCATGCTGCAGTGTAACTGGAAGGGAAGCTGTTCTTCCTGTAACCGAAGGCTGACTTTCAGTGCTGAAGGCCTTCTGGGGCAGCCAGGCCTATGTTACATGGTCGCCTAGTATCATGGGGGGGAAAGGAAGTTCCAGTGGTAGCTGTTAGTGAGTTTCTTCACGTTTGGGATAGACTCAGCAGAGTGCCCGAGGGCGGAATGGGGCATGGAGACTGGCCTAGTGACTAGAGCCCTAGACTGGGACGCTGAAGAGCTGGTGGACCTATTCCTGGCTCTGCCACTGACCTGGGGCAAGTCACCTCCCCGCTCCGTGCCTCAGTTTCCCTATCTATAAAATGGGGGAAATGATACTGGGCTCCTTCTTAAAGTGCTTTGAGATCGACAGAGGCCAGGCATTATGGAAGGGTGGGGTGGGGCTCTTATTTTGGAGGCGAGAATGGTTTCGCGTCAGAAGGCTGAGGTGCATTGCGAAGGCCGTTCGGTGACGCATGTCCTGCCACCGTCCCGTACTCCACCTGTGCTCTGGGCGAAGAGGGGACGGTAGTTTGTAGGGCTGTCAACCCAGCACATTTGGCCAGCCCTCACTTCACTCTTACTGAATGTCATTGCGCCATTGTACTTCACCGCTGCCTCATTAGAGGGCTTGGTATTGTTAACCCCTGGATTTTTAAGCACACTCATAATTGTAGCTTATCCATGCTCGCCTGCATTCAGTGCAAGGCTGAGTAAATAACTTAGGGCTCAGGGCAGCAGAAGCCGCGCTGTGGGGCATGGACTAGCTGTAAGTCTTTGCAGTTCATTCCTTAGAGAGCCTAATTCCGATGCCTGGATTCTTCCTCCCTCAACCCTCAGTTATCTGATTCCAAGTTCCAGCTCTGACCTCCCGCACTATCTCTGCCCCAATATTCAGGTGCTTGCAATTTCTGCTATGTAATCCCAGTGGGAGAATCCCTGATCCCACAGGGGTTATGCTGCGAGCGGGGTACCATTAAAAACAGGGGATATGGTTCCCCACACACTCATCCCTTTGAGGTTCAGCTACTGGCCACGGAGAAAATTGTTGGCAACTTTATGGTGATACCGAGGCAGGGCCAGCCAGGTAAAGGCTGAAAGTAAGGTAGCCCATAGGGAAAAAATGTTAAGAAGCGGCCAGATGAAAAGAAGAGATGTGAGAAGACCAATCCCCGTGAAAAGCATCTTGGGTCACAGAGCTCTTTTCAAGAGGTGACACAAGGAAATTGTGTTAGGAACAGCTGTGCTCACAGAAAGTCAAGAATTGTTTTGTGACGGCCTTATTATCTCCGATCCCCGGGGAATGGGGCAACACTTCCAGGTGTTGTACAAGCACCGAGGAAGACACAGCCTCTGCCCCAAAGTGCTTGGGCGTTAGCGACAGGCAATGTGTGCACAGCAGGAGGAGGGGATACAACACAAAGGTAGAGTAAGCAGGAAGATGGCCGGCACGCAATGGGTTAATTCCATATCTTTCCCCGTCTTCATTATATATACACTGTTGCCAACTCACGTGATTTCTTTATTATTATCAGGGATCTTGTGATATTTTTAATTAAGTCCCCAGTGCCCAGAGTTAGGTGATTATTGGAGACTATCAGTTTTTATTTAAAGAAAAAAAAAAGTCTCTGGCTGTCATTGTTCTGGAGAAAAGGCTGAAAACATGACCCCCTAAAGGTTCGAAAATCAGAGGGCAAATAGCTAGAAACTCAGCTGCATTATTTAAAAAGCAAAAGAAAACCCACTTGTGATTTTTAAGCCAGTCTCGTGATTGTGGGGGCCACGTCTTGTGATTGTGGAGTGCTTGGGCCTGCCAATGGTGGGCTTGTTTCCCAAATGTTAGTTTGCGGGGGTCGGTGTTTATGAGAGAGAGGGGGAGAGGTGCTTGGAATGAGGGAGGGAAGTGGGGAAAGGGAAACTGAAGCGAAGTCTTCACTGCAGAGTTACCGCGTTTGTAGATAACGCAAGTTCAGTCCTCTCGGGTTAGCCTAGCTCCCGTGAGCTGCGCAGAGTGACTGGATTACTATGCGGGGGTCGTATTAGCAGCTGATTCAAGCTGTAGCCTGTGCCCTGGCCGGGCCAGCCGACTTGAGCTAAAAGCACCACCGCACTTGAGTGACGGGGGTTTGGGTGTGGACGGGACACAAGTTGAGGGCAAGACTGGAGTTATAAGGCAAGTTAACTCAGCAGTGTAGACGAGCCCTGAGGGGGAGGAGACTGTGAACTATTTTGGGGGGGCGGTGGCTGTCTCTCGCTGTGTGTCTGTGCAGCACCCAGCTGTCTCTGGGCCCTACAGTAATATAAATAAATAATATGACGAGGAGAGGGGTGAGAACCAGGCTGAGGTGCATGATGGGCTGGGAAGGTGAGGCCAGGTAGCTGTGGGGCTGCTGGTTTTCAGGTGCTCCAGCCTGTTTGGCGTGGGGGAGAACAGGCTGTTTAGTCTTTCTCCCACTCGGTGAAGCAAGCGATGCTAAGCCTCTAACCCAGCCTCCTCACTGGGTCCCTGTTGTTCTGAGTAGCCAGCTCGGAGTCCCTCTCATGAGCTGTTGGGTGAAAGGAAGCCCTCAGGATGCTTACTCCCCAGTGTAATAAAGCCACGTGAGATCTCTAGTGGGCTGGGCACATGAGGCTACAAACTACGCACATTGCACTGGAAAAACCGGCTGGGGCTTACGTGCTAAGGGCCAGGTCTTGTCCCTGCTAAGTGACCGCATTGCATGTAGCGAGTGATCAGTCATGGGTGGCATGAGGGAAGGAGAAAGGGCACAGGACGAGCTCTCTTCCCGCTCAGCAGAGACGACGTAGTTCAGTGGTGCCGCCTCAGGGCTGTCTGTGGAGCATAGCTCTGCAGGAGATTTCTCCAGTACTCCTGGGGGTACTGATCTGATGTAGGGCGGATGTGAAGTGCCCCAGATGGGGATCATAGAAACATAGAATATCAGTGTTGGAAGGGACCTCAGGAGGTCATCTAGTCCAACCCCCTACTCAAAGCAGGACCAATCCCCATCTAAATCATCCCAGCCAGGGCTTTGTCAAGCCGGGCCTTAAAAACCTCCAAGGAAGGAGACTCCACCACCTCTCTAGGTAACCCATTTCAGTGCTTCACCACCCTCCTAGTGAAATAGTGTTTCCTAATATCCAACCTGGACCTCCCCCACTGCAACTTGAGACCATTGCTCCTTGTTCTGTCATCTGCCACCACTGAGAACAGCCGAGCTCCACCCTCTTTGGAACCCCCCTTCAGGCAGTTGAAGGATATCGCTACTAGAGAAAGGGCCGTCCCTCTATTTTGTGGTGTACTCGGCCAGGGGTTCTGGTTCTGATCTCCGTCCAGCTCTGAGCGCAGAGTGGGGGGTGCTGGGCTGGGCTAGCTCCTCCAGTTATTGGCACGCATGCAGTAGCTTGTTCCTCCTGCGTGTGATGTACGGAGGGATAGGAAATGCAAACTCCAGCGTTGTGTCTGCAGAGCCGGCAGCTCCCGTCTGCTGGTGCCATCCTCATTCGCTGGCACATACTGCGCGAGAGGGTGACAAGGGGCGTCTGAGGCTCCTGGGACAGTTACCAAGGTGGGATCAAACACCACAGTGACAGTATGTCTGGGCGAGGAGAGAGAGGGCATGTCCCAGTCTGCAAAGGAGAGGGGTCGCTGACCTTCTGTGTTGGGAGTGGGAGGGGCTGTGGGGAGAGCTGCTCCCCCCAGAGGTTGATCTAAACCTGATGTAGCAACCGGGTTCCAATGGAGCCTACAATTGTCTGTAGAAAACGTACTTGCTTTGTGAAGTGACTGGAGCATGATGGAGCCCCATGCTTCTCACCTGACAGCCCCCCATGCGCGCACGCAAGTGGCACATTGCCCCAGACGCTTCACCCCGCTGCTCTGGCGTCGGCTGCCAAAGTTGGGTCTGTTTGGGACACGACGGGCTTTGCAGGATTCGAGAGGAGCCCAGGCCCTTGTGCTGAAAGGAGGCAGGGGGTCCTGGGAGTTTGCAAAGGGAACCCAGAGCCTCAGATATGGGGGGGAAAGTGGGTCACTTGGACCCTCAAACAGTAGAAGCAAATGTGCCGTCAGGATGGGCATTGAATGCCACCAAGTGACATTTCATCAGCTTGCCGTATGGTGTAAGGGTTGTCAGACAGCATTGGTCCAGTTAGTCCAGCAGGCAGCCATTGGCTGTGGCTTCAGAAGGCGGTGGGAATAAAGTATCTGGCCAGATATGCAGTGCTGAAGGCAGAA